AAAGTCCTGCCAGGTCTCTCTGGCATGGATTTGTGCCTCCCACCGTCCGCTGGCAACTTCCTCTCTCGCTGAACGCTGGCTTTTCCCATGTGGCATGTTAGGTAGCAGAACAGCCAATCCATGCTGAACCTCGCAGTCTTTAGCTTCTGTTACTAGAAATAGTCATTCTTTTTCATAATCTAAAAAATAGGAGAATAATCCTCAAATTGACTGAGCTGGATAATTTTTCATTCCCAATAAACTAACTATAAAGTGAAGGGTATGGTCTTATAAGAATCTGGGAGAGCCAGCTGTAAACTTTTAGTGCAAGTGCAAAGACCGTTTAAGCACAAGAGGGCGAACTGAATGGGAGAGAGATAATTTATGCTCCAAGATAATAAATTCCATTTATCAAGAACCTCACTAAATATCATCCCTTACAAGGTGAGGTTTTTATACCCCAACCCTTCACAATCAGACATCTCCTTTCCTATACTCCAGTAATTATCCTGTTACAGCTTGATATAGCTCCTGTTTTCGATCAAACTTGAATTTCCAAATTCTTTCCCAATGAATGATTTTTTTAAATGCGTAGAGAAAAAAAATAAGGATATAATAATTTTTAAACTCGCAAATATATACCTATATGTCTATATCTTTAAAATATAAAAATGAGTACATACATATATAGATGCAGATGACATAGATATAGATATAGAAGTAGATATAGATGCAGTAGATGTATTTGGTAAGCATATATGTTGGCTGGCCCATGAGGAGGATGACCCAAATATTAGGAGAAACTTAATTTGTGCATTTATTATAAAGGGCTTACATGCATATAGTTTAACAAATACATTTTAATATTTGCCTTACTTTGTCTACTCAGTGCCATAATTTAAGCATTCTATACTATTAAAACTTATACATATTCTATACTATTAAACACTATGTATGAGCCAGATATAGTGGTGCAGGCTGTTAATACCAACACTCTGAAAGGCTGTGGCAGGAGAATTCCAAATTTAAGCCCTGCCTAGTCAACTTGAAGACTGAAAAACACCCTGTACTATTGTATATATAGTACATATATAGTATACACACACACACACACACACACACACACACACACACAGAGTGAATATATTTCTAATGGCCACACTATCCAAATGTATAACATTCTTAGAGATTCCACTGTTGCCAAAATATATTTATAATTAAGAGTATTTATGTTAATGGATCAAGAATTACGCTGTATAAGCTTTGCCCTTGACCATAAATGTCTAGGTCTAGAAATACATGTTCAAAATATGCATACATTTTGTATCTTAATTCGTGTGGACAAATTATCTTCGTACACGATCTTGAACACAGTATATAAAATTACTTGTTTTGAAACACACATGCTAAAATTTCATATTTTTGTTTTAAGCAAAGATTGCCAGCACAAATATGAGTAACACATTCTTTGCTTTGCTTATCAAGTTACATAACTGTATTATAAGTTACACTGCTGCACGTGTTTCTGAAGATCTCATTTCTTCTAAATTATGTATCTCAATTACATTTCTAATGAGATTTCACTGGATTGTTTTTACAAATCATTAATGCATATATTGAAAACATTTATGCCTGAAATTTGCTGCCTTATAAATTCAGTAATAACTTCAGTGGTCATCTAGTTATCTTTCAGTTGCTATTTTCATATGATTTAGTCATTTCCCCAAATTTAGGGATCTCCAGTATACAAATGTTCTAATTCAAAAGCCAAATTGCCAGATTTTTCCTTCTAGGAATCCTTTTATATATTTGGATGATGAGAAAGTAATATAATGTTTGGATTTTGCCCAGAGATTTCTCCTTTAAGAACTGAAATGAATATAAAGTCTAAAGAAAAACCTTGGTAAAAGAAACAGCTCAGGCTTCAGAGAAGATTGGACTTCGGGTCACTACTTCCACCATCCTGGAGTAGTCACTTCTTTCCTCAGTAAATTCCTTTGTAAGTAAAAGAACTTAGCTGTTATGCTTTCATATTTATTCAGTCTCAAACACCTATGACTCTATGATCACAGCATGCCTCAAACTAACTTCAGTCATAAAATGCTCAAGAAAATATGGAACAAATATTATAGTCACCTGAATTAATCATCACCTTGAGATGTATTAAATCCGGTAAATCACCTCTTGGCTCTTCCTAGCTTCTAGTTGTGACCCTTGATCACTAGCATTCCTTGGCTTGCAAACACACACTTAAGCCTTGGGTTCTGCTGTCACACAATACCCTCTTTATATCTCTGTCTTGACATAGCTTCCTCATCTTTTAAGGGCTGAAGGGAGGACAGGAATATGGGGAAAAAGGAGAACCAAGACCTGTCATGTAAAGGTACAAGATCACAATGATGAATGTCACTGTACTGCATATCTAAAAAGGTATTTTCTCAATGAGAAAAAAAAAAAAAAGAATGCCAGTCATATTATAGTAGGGCCACTCTTATGACCTCAGCTTGCATGTATCTTTAGAAACCATATTTTCAAAATAAAATCACACACAATTTCTTATAGTTGGGACTTCAACATATCTTTTGTAGGGACACAGTTAAACTCATCACAACTTCTACCGCACATACACATAGACTTTCAGTTAAAGATGCCCCCTTGCATCCGCTCCAGATGGCAGCATAGGAACTGAGCCCAAAAGATTATGAACAATGACAGCAGCTTGCCAATGCAAATCATCCAGTGCACAGGTGGCAAGTGTTGGCCTGTGGCTCATGCTGAAAGAGATGAGGATGAAGATGGAAACAAGGGGACATGTCTAAAGGGAAAGGAAAAGATTTTTATTGACCTCAGAGTTGATGTACGCCACTGTACTGAGGAATATTGACTTGACTCCTCCTCAAAAATAAATGAAAAATATTTGGTGGATGTTTTATAATTTATAAAACACACAGAAGGATTTCTATTCACTCAGCTGTATGAACTAATGTCTGCATTCTTAATTGCACCTGCCTACTAGTGTTGTTTAATATGTTTGAGCCTCTTAATAAACTAGAATAACAATCTCCTGCTTCAGAAGATAGCTGAGAAAGATCAGTGTGATGATATTATCTACATGGCCCCCAAACCATGTTTACACAAAGTGGAGCTTTGGGCAGGTGATTAGATCACACAGACAGGATAGTGATTAGAGTATTAGTCCACTGGTGAGTTCATAGCTAAATTTGGTGTTGGGTGGTCAAGCCTGGTCAGAGAAGGTGGCTCACTGGGGATGTGCCTGAGAAGGCTCTACATATCTTTCTCCCATCGATCTCTCTCTGCTCTCAGAGGACAGGCCATGAGCTGATTTCCTTCTGCCATGTTTCTCTGCCATGCCACCCTGCCTTGGAGCCATCTTATTATCCACTTAAAACTCTACAAACTGAGAGCCTTTTAATTCGTGGGTGTCGAGTATAGAGTCTCAGTACTGAAAGTAACGAAGAAAAACAGGATACATGACAGATGAGAAGAAAAATCTGCACAAATACATTTTCTTTAAACTTTGAAACGCTCACGTTATTTTCCAGTAATGACTTCTTTAATCTTTGCCCATCGGATGGGTGACTCCCTGAAGGTGAAAAATGTTATCATTGTGTTTCTGACATACTGGTCAATGCTTGAAATATAGACAGCAGTAAGTTGAGGCTAACTGGACAATGAAAGAATAAACAACTCAACAAAGTATCTTGAATGTTTTAGTAATTAGAAATATTCTTATCGTCACACCCACAGAGATTCCAAAGTGCTTGTTCTTCCTTGTACCCTGCCTCGCAAATGGACAGAATCTAAAGGCATACAGAAGAAGAAAGAAAGCGGCTTAATAAAGATTGATTATATATAAGAAAATAGAAAAACAGTAAAGTTGCTCTTCGCATCCACAGCGATTGGTTCCAAGAGCTTCTATGAAGGACAAAACTCACAGATGCGCAAGTTCCTTACATAGAACAGTATAGTATGTATTTGCATACCAGTTGTGCAACTTTTTCCCATATTTCTTAAATGACCTCTAGATTAATAATGGAACAGAATACGAGGTATATCCCATGTAAATGTTTATTTGAAACAATAACAAGGGGAAGTCTGCCTAAGTGCAGTGTGTGATAACATTTTGTTTTTCAAACATGTTTTACCCACGGTTGAATCTGTGGATACTAATCTGGCATACAGAGGGCTGATTGGATGTGAAATAAAAAGAGGAAAAGCAGGGCCTTGGGAGACTCGTAAATTAAATGCGTGTTTGTGTAAAAGGGCACGAGTGTAATGGAAACAGTTTCCTCCTCCGTGAAGCTTAATTAGACATGATGCCGTGTTTTCCCACCCTAATTTGACCCTTTGGAATATTTATGGTGTTGCTTGCTCTCCTCTCATCAATTCCTCTGCCGATGAGCCAAATCTAAAGAGGCCCCACAAGGTTATTAAGCAGAAAGAGTTGGAGAATGTTTCAATCTTCATTCTCCATCCCAAAACTTTGAGAAAGATGTGAGAAATTGATAGTTATTAAAGCAAAAAAGAGGCTGCTATAGCAGGGCACTGGAGGTCAGGAGCCCATTGGGGCTGGCATAGGTTGGGGAAAATCAATAAATTTAAGAACAAGTGGAAGTTAAATGCTTTCTTGTGACCCAGTCTAATGACTCCAGCTGACTTTCCTCAAAAGACTATTCTTCCCTTTCTCCTATTTTATCTACTTATGTTTTAAAAGTCAGTATCTGATATCAGCTTTCTAGGATGTTCATGTAAGAGACAGTTCTGTTGCTGGAATAAGGTCAGATGGAATCATTAGTATCTCAGGACTTTTCTTCCCCTGTCTGCTAAAGGAGCAGGTAAAAGCAGGAAATGGCATTTGAAAATGGAAGAAAGACTAGACTGTCTGTGAGAACCTGGAAAGGCAAGCGATAGTCATTACATTGCTTGACGTTTGTTACCTCAGTAAATCTTCACATCACCTTCAGAAAATGGATTTTGTGATCTCCTCTTTACAGGTGTGTGCTCTTCACAGAATGTGTTTGGACAGAGCCTAGTTTTAAACTTGGGCTATCCATTTTTGTTCTGTGTCTTCTTGCCCTGGGGAAGGTGGAAAGCCTTGTGTGCTTAGGACTATTCAGAATATCCTGAGCACATGCTGACTGTGGCTTTTGGGTAGCCAGAGGAATAGATACAGGTAAGCTGTAAAATCTTTGAATGGTATTTGAGTCAACTTTTTATTACTATAATCAAATATCTGGGCTTTTTTTTAAGATAAAATTTTATTTAGTTCACAGTTTTGGAGGCCGTAAGTGTTGGTGAGGGCCTCCTTTGGCTATAATCACATCATGCTGGAAGCAGGTGTGTATCACTGTGTTTGGGGCCATTTTTTCTTTCCTTATAAAAACACTAAGCATGAATCATAGAGATCCTACACTAATGACTGAATCACTTCCCATAACATCGAAACCCTAAAATAAAATAGTAGAATTAAAACTTCTCCTTGTAATATCATTAACACAAGACTGTGGATATTATATTCTCTTGTGAATTTAGGGGGACATATTCAAACCATAGCAAATGGCTCTTTCATTTACATGATGCTTTCTGCTGCTAACATAGAACCAGAAACAAAACAGACACCTCATGTAATCTTCCTTCTCCTCCTCCTCCTCCTCCCTTCCTTCCTTTTTTACCAGGGGATCAAACTTAGTACTTTGCCCTTGTGGGCTAGGCATGGTACCACCGAGCTAAATCCCTGGCCCTTGATGTAATCCTCTTGAGTTTGAATTCATGAAGGTCCTCAAGCAATGCTTAGTACCTATTATCCAAATGGTCTTTAATAACACGAGTAAACAACAAATTAAGATTTTTGATTTGGATGAAATATCAGTATACAATAGTAATTCACAGAAAATGCCCTTGTGAATAAGTCTGTAAGGAATTTTCTATGGAGGAGGTAGGAACTAAACATTTCGTAGGTAGAAAGAAAAGATTGCATGGAAAATATCTTCTATTCAACCCAAGGAGCCCATGGATTTAAGATTGCTTATCTTCTTGTGACCAAAGTTGCAGATATATGTAATAAAGACCAGCTCTTTCCCAAGAGATTTATGAAGGTTAAATTGGTTACCTAGGTCTTCTGTAGCAAAATTTTATAAAGTGGATGGCTTAAAATAATATAAATCCAAAGCCTAAAAGTCCATAATCAAGGACTTGTTAAGCCCATGTTCTCTCAGAAGTTCCTAGAGAACAATTCTTCCTTGCCTCACCGAACATTATGTGGGTGTCAGAAATCTCATTATTTTTAGATTGTAAATGCATCGCTAATCTTTCCTTCAATCTTGTATATGTGCATGCTTTTCTATCGGCTACAAAATTTTCTTCTTCTTATAAGGATAATATGCTTCTGATAAGAATATTATGAAGAGATTAGGATTCACCCCAAAGTAGCATAAACTCATCTTAATTTCATTACATCTCAAATGATTATTTCCAAGTAAAGTCACATTCATAGGTAACAGGCAAAGAGCAAGTGTGTGTGTGTGTGTGTGTGTGTGTGTGTGTTTGTGCCCGTGCATGCGTGCCCACATTCACATTTTTGGTGGTGGTATGCAATCCAGTAACATCTCCACAATCCCTGTGACAGGAATGAAGCATCAGAAAGAAGCTAGTGTGACTTACCTTTTATGTACCATGTGCCCTGTGTGTATTGGGAAGCCTGTGGCCTGAGTAATTGGAATTTAAAGTCTATGAAACCCCCGTAATGTTTTAGTGTAACTCCCACTGCTATTTGGCAATAACCTCTGTGGACATCTTGCTGGTTCTCTATCCCAGCCTTTCCCCCCTGCTGCTTTGGTATTTAGAGCTATTTTAATGGACACTAAATCCTTCCTGCCCTACAATCACTAAATCAGGCTCTTAATAGTGTCCTATTAATTGTACAAAATAAGGACTTGATGCAAACCGGATAGATATTTTTTGAATATTAATTAAATTCACATTGATTAGCAAAAACAGATTTATTGAAACTTTAACAAACACACAACAAACATAACTGAGTTGTTAAGTCTCAAATATTTTTTGGCAAATCAATTGACTTTTGATTAACAAATATCTATTTTAATAAATCTCAAAGAGATGAGCTTTTGAGTGTACACAGACATTTTAATTAAGTTGGGCTTCCATTCTCTTATATCTGCCTTCCTTGTCCCACAATTTCTTACCCTAGTCTCTATTTGGGAAGAGGGAAAAAATACGTCAGTTTTGTTAATATGGGTGAATAAAGACAATGTTACTTCAAAATCTGCTTGAAGGCAGAAATCTCTTAAAACCTTAGCTTCATGATTTTTCATCTTTTCAAAATGAAGTTTTTTCTGACTAATCTATTGTAAAATATTTGGTATTCTAACTCATGTGTGTTTTCCTCACATAATTTGAACAACTCAAAAGCCTGTCATTTAGTTGTGACTTACTTGTTTGATACCAGACCTCACTGCCATAGTGAGCTCCCGGCAGCAGTGAGTGCAACTGATGTACCTGTCTTTGTATTTCTAGAATGTAGAAAAGAACCTGACACGCATCCTCCCCTCTTCCTATTTTTTTTTTAAATCTGGTATATTTTCCTCTCTAGCACTGAAATTAACGATTATCTTACAGACACAAGCAATGGACAGTCATCCTGTATTCTGTCCAGCTGTCCTGTAGTCTTAGCCTTTTGTCATAGGCCTTCACCACCTGAGTCTGTGTAAACATTTATATTCTTCCCCCACCTCTCTCTCTCTTTTTCTTTTTTTCTTTTTTTTATTGTTCTTGGAAACAGGCTCCCACTATGTGGTTGAGACTGACCTGGAACTCATTATGTCACCCAGGCTGGTCTCCAACTCACAGGAATCCTCTTGCCTCATCCTCCGAGTGCTGGGATTATAGGCGTGCACTCCCATGCCCAGGTTATCTCTCTTTCTAATATGTATGAGCTATTAGAATGAAGTTTGCAGTTGTATCAGGGAGATTTCTTACACTTCTACCATTCATCCAGAAGGAATTCCTGCACTTCCTTGAAACTCTACATATGTGTTTCTACCTTCACATTACACAGCTGTGTTTCCTAAAAGGATAATCTATATACTTTTGTCTGATATTGATAAACTGTTGACAACTTGCTTCATTGACTGTTTAAAAATAAGTTGTTCCCAGAGCACCATAAATTACCACACTTGAGTCATTTGTACAATGTCAAAACTGCAATATGCTACTGCAGTGTTCACTGGGAAGGAAAAAGAACTTGAAAAGGGCTGAAGCAACTATGTCCCATTTCTCTTGTAGGGGAGATGAGACAAGCTAGAAGATTTTTATTTTGATCCAGGTTCTTAGAGCTAAAGTGTCTTTGCTTTTACAACATTGCTATTAATTCTTATCTCAAAGGATTAGAATTATCAGACAATCTGAGCATGTATTTTAGTTCAGGTACTATGTTTGGCAACAATTTTATGGTATTTTGTCATTTATCAATATAATAATTCTTGAAAGTAAATGTCCTTAGCTCTTTTTGACTTTGAGAGAATTAAGATTCAGAGAAATGAAAGAACCTGTATAAAGTCACACTGAGAAAAACGAAAGCATAAAGTTTACAACTTAGAACTTGCTCTACATAAAACAACTTTTGCCTTAAAATCTTCTAATGAATGTTTCCTGCAACTGATAGACATTTACAAAGTCAGGCGAGGGGCAGGTCAGAAAAACTAAAGGCCGAGGCAAAATATTTGACAAATACTTTATAGTAAATGAACAAGTTATATGATTAAAAAGAATGTTGTCAACACAGGATATGCAGAACACGTAGAAGTTAAATAGTGACATGTCCCCATTTAGCAACTGGTATACCAAGCAGATGAATGAACTGCCTAGGGTCATGCCAAAGGCGTGCAGTTGCAGTCAGGCATAGACATTTTAGAATACTCTCCCCATTGCTCACCACTTATACCAAGGAAAACAGTCCACTGAGCTGAAATCCCAGTCCCTTGGGTTGATAACCAGTCTTGTCATTTGGTTATGCCTTTCCTCTAATACTTTTTAGCCTCATTCCCTTATCGCCATCATCTCTCGATTGACAATGCTGAAAAGATTGGGGGAACATCTCTCCTTGAATTTGCTAGTGCAATCTACTGCTTTCCTGATATATGTGTCTGTTCAAAATGTGGCACAAATGTTTGGTTAAAGATAATGACCCAGTGTGAAAATGACTGTGATAAAAATGTCATGTAATTTTCCAGGGTGACTTTGAAGTAAGGCTTACCATATAAATGTGGAATACCGAGAGAGTTAGCTGCTATTTTTTTCCTTGATGAGCAATAAATTATTGTCTTCCGCAGCTACAATGTAGGAGGCAGTTTCCTTGTTACTAATTTTTTTCCTTTTCTCCTATGGCTGGGATAAAGCAATGCCCAAAGCCCTCCCAAGTTAGCAATTCCCAGAAACTTAGATTTTTTTTTTTTTTTTCACAACCCACTGCTTCATATTGCTGAAAGGACAATCCGAAGACAAGAAGAATTACAATAATATCTCCATGTATATTTGCAAAAACTATTTGAGCCTCTGTTTTGTCTGTTATAAAATTAAGTTTTTATTATAATGATTAAATGAAACAAACTTGCAAAATATCTATCATGCACTTATCTCACTCTCAATTGTTAGTTTGAATCAGACTTTTGGACCTCACTGGATGAGATTCTAATTTAATAAGTCTGGATTGGAGCCTGGGAATCCATATTTCTCATAAACACTTTAGGTAATTCTACTGCAATTAAAGCAGGACCATGTTTTGAGAAACATAGGCAAAGGAGGATATAATAATAATAACATAATTGCCGTTCATGCTGTGCCATGTTTAAGCTGCTGTACATTACTATACTCTGACTTAATATATGCTCACACATATATCTCACTCATTATGCTCGATGAGCGCAAGTGTTTTCCTTTCCCCTCAACCTTTTCTTTCTCTTGGTGTTTTATGAATGTGTGTGATCCTTGAATAAGAGAAGAGAGGTGAAAAATACCTCAGCCATGGTTTAGGGTGGATCTTTTTTCCTGAATAGGAATTCCAGTAGGAGTTTTGTTTCCAAATTGTGCCTAGGCTTTCGGAGTTACCGTGTCGAGCTGAACTGTTGAATAGTCCCCTGCAAGAAACTGTCACAGATGTGCCCAAATTCTGGTGTGACAGTCCTAACCTCAGAGTCCACACTGTCCTAGAAAAATGTCCTAGGTTTCATTTTTCTCCATGCCACTTAGAATGCATTTATGTAGAAGTGACCCAGAAGAACTTCCACGTGCCTTTATCCGTTTTCTCCATATCTCATACGCAGGTCTACATTTCCTTGGTTTTTCAGTAGCACTGCAGCATTTCAGACACAGTACTCCCTTCTTGCTTCCAGAATGCAATTTTCTCCGTCTTCCATAAAGATTGGTTAGCTTTATTCCATAATGTTGGGGAAATCACTGCAAACTTTAAAGGACCATTTACTCTTTCACCATACTACGATATGATAATATGCAGGGGATGACTTCACTTTCTTTGCCTTTATTTAAACATGTTCTATGGGCGAAATGGGAAAGGAGAAATGGAAATAGGAGGAGTAAAGGAAAGGAAAGAAGAAACATGAATAAATACAAGAAAAGGAAAAAGATGGAAACAAAGCTTTTGTAAATGGGGAGGATTGAAGGGGCTGAAGGGAAGGCAGGGGAATGGAAAAAAAAAAAGAACCAAGATATATCATGTAAAGGTACAAATTCCCAATGATGAATGTCATCATGCTGTATGTCAAAAATGTATCAATAAGCTTAAGGAATTAAAAAAATTAAAGAACCGAATGTTTCTGTTTGATATTAGCATACAGTTGTGAACATTATTCTTGTTTCTTGCATCCTCTCACTGGATAAATAGGTAATAACGGAGTCAAGAAGATGCACAAGTCACATGCTTTGTAGGAGCAATTTGCTAATCTTTTCTGAAGTTTAATATTTAGAGGGAAATATGCATGGTTGACTGAAGACAGTAATAGTGTTCTTTCTGAAGGTCAAAACTTCTGACTAGTGCCTCAGTCTGATTAGGTTAAGCTTAAGGTGATAATGTGTGGATTGTCACAGCAGCTAGGGCATTTACTCTTTTTTTCCTCTAACCAATGTCCTTGGAAGCAGCCAATTAACATGCAGCAGAGAGAGCATCCAGATAACTCGAGATTGAATTGAAAGGCTTTTTCCTTCCCTTGACAGAGCAGAGAGGTCGAGCACCTGACTTCCCCTTCAAAGTCAGTGATCCATGCAGCACTTCTGATTGGAACGATGTGAGCCTTTCCAATTCTTCATGTACATATAAATGGAGATGCTGAGGAAATTAGCCAGAATCTATCGAAGAAGAACTGAACTATCCTAGAAGCTTTACTGCTGTCCAAAGTACTCGGTTCTATCTAAGGTATTGTGCCTTCCACTTTGCTTCTTTAAAATTCTGTTTAAAGCAACATGCAATAACCAAACTGAATGCTTTGTTACAAAAAATCAAAACTTAAATTATTTCAATATTATTCTATATAAAATATACCAGGTCATGTTAGAGTTGGGAGCATAATTGGAAACCTGGCAGATATAACCAAGAGACTTTCTTTATAATAAAGAAATATAGCTACCCACATCCTTATTTCATTAATGTTTAGCTAAATATTCAAATAAGGAGAAAAATAATTCACTAGGAATAAATAACTTACCTGAAATACAAAAGAAATGTGAGTACCTGAATGAAGGGGGAAAAAAAAAAAACAGAGAAACCTCATTGGGCACAGAGGCCTGAGTCTGTGTTTCTGACAAATTTCTTGACATCTTTGTCATTGTATTTTTTATGCTTAAAATGAAAGTAAAATAAAAGGAACTTACACTCTGTCTTGCATCAGATCAACTATCTACCCCCTACCTTCTACCAAAATGTATGCATTGAACTCTGATATTGAGCCTACTGTTTGTGTGTTCATAGGCGGAGCTGAACCACAGTCATCAATTTGATGGTGTTTAGAGATGGTGCCTTCAGACTGTGATTAGATCGTGAGGGTAGAATACACAAGGTTTTAGTGTCTTTGTTATAAGAAAGGTCCTGGAGAGCACCTTTCCTCAACTTACCTTGTGAGGACTAGGAAGTGGGCCCTCATAGAAACAGAATCTTCGGAGACTTTGGTCTTAAACCTTTTAGCCTCTAGAGCTGTGAAAAGTGAGTTTCTGTTGTTTATGAGCTACCTTGTTAATAAGAGTCGTGTATTATTGGTTGATATCTTGATAGCAGCCATTCTTTCTGGGGTGAGGTGGAATCTCAGTGTTGTTTTCGTCTGCATCTCTGCCCAAATAGACCAAGAAATTTGTCCTCAGACGACTACTAAAAAAAAATTGCTAAATTAATTAATGTTAATTATTTAATACGTATCAGGCATTGTGGTGATCCCAAGCAAAGCAGTGTCACAGAACCTGGGGTCTGCATGGAAAACTTGCAGTAGATCAGTATAATTAAATGGGATAAATTACTAAGAGATGAACTGGCTCTAGGGAAGTGTACAAAACCCTGGTTTGGCGTAAACCACAAGACACTGAGCAAGTACCATATGGAGTGACCTGAGAAAATGCTTACAAGGTGATTAGAAAAGGAGTATGGACAGGTGTGCATTTCAGGTAGACAGAAAGAATGTGCAAAGCGTCAGTTCCAAGAATAAGCACGGCATAGTTTGTCACTGGTTAGAAGGCAAGAGTGAAGAAACCACAGAGAAAAACTTGGTAATTGCAGGGAAGTAGGTAAAATAGGCATACACGGTAGATTTCAGAAGCATGGGAAAGACATTTTAAAAAGTCTAACTTGATGGTTATGACATGGTTGCATTTGTATTTTGTGAAATTCTGTGGAGCTGCTGTTTGGAACAGAGTGGATTCCAAGATTCCAGTAGGATACAACTGTGGTCATCCTTTATACTTCTAAGAGGTAACGGTTTGAGAGAAGACTGAAAATACATTCAGAAAAAATGACATGGAACGGAGAATGTTCCCATTAATCTATTTTTTCATTAAGTTTATTGCTACATTTTAGGTATACAATATAATGACATTCACTATTGGAAATTTGTACCTTTACATGATCTATCTTTTTCTTTCTTTCCCCATTCCTCTGCCCTCCGTTCACCCCCTCCACCTCTTCCTGTGTACAAAGACTTTGTTTCCATTTTTTCCTTTTCTCATATTAATTCCATTCCCTTCTTTCCTTTCTTCAACACATCCCATTCACCTTCCCCTTTGGACCTCTTCTTCCTGTTTCACATTACCAATTATACATTTTGATCCTTATTTGCACCTTTAGTTAATCTTCACATGTCAACTTGTTTGGATGAAGAAATGCCTGGTAGAGAGATAAAGCACAATTTTGGCTGTCTATCTTTGCATGGCCTTGGTACTGTTTACTTGGTACTCTGAACCCTTTCTTTCTGGTGCTGTTACCCTGCTTTGTTTTCTGGCTATTATGAACTAAGACATTCCCTTGCCACGCCCTTCCACCATGATTCTGCTTTGGAGTCAGCCATCCAGGAACTGAATCCCTCCAAACATAAGCCAAACTGCACCCTTTTTTCTTTAAGTTTTGAGTGTCAGATATTGTGTCCGAGGGAGGACAAAGATGACTACTACATAAAAGTGATATCAGGAGTGGAACCGTTGGACCTGACCACGTGGTGTGGGAGACTCCAGAACTGGTTTGTAGGAGGAGGTTGAATAGGTTTGGTAATCTAGGCGACAGAATCCATACAATGCTGTAAAGCAGAGCCTGGTGGGTGATTCAGATCAGAACTCAGAGAACTAGAATGCTGATATAAATGCACACAGTAAAAGCTAGTCTTATGAGGCTTCACTTGGGAACAAGGACATCATCGGCAAGTAGACTACAAGCCAGGTGTGTTACACTGTCAAAAAAAGTATTGGCTGCATCTGTGCCTTGTCCTCAGCCTTCACAGGGAACTGAGACTAAGGGTAGTAGACTGAGTTATATTTCAGAGGACATTTGAATATTTGCCAATATTCAGGATATGGCATAAAATACTGCTGAGTTCTTTTAGTAAGATTTATAATAAGAATTGGATCTAAAAAGCACAGCAGAAAAATTAGGAAAATTTACAGTTTGCACCGGAAGAAAATACATGCAAATGTGGGGCTCAAAGAGGTTTGGTTGCTGAAAAGATCAACACTACTAAAACGAAACTAAAGACATTGTGCCGGAAGAAGAATGACAACTCGAAGTCATCTCAGAAATGAACAAGACCCCAGCCATCACACGCTGAAGGAGGCAAAAGTATCAATTTTCATTTGAGAAGAGTCTCAGAGACCTCTGCCAAAGAAAATCCTCCTAGAAATCGGTTCCCTACATTCATTTCACCATAGTCAGGCATGAGCAGGCATTCAGAGGCCACTGTAGCCATAGACTAAGGGGCTTCTACTGCTCCCGACAACTGACCTTGGCATTGTCCACGATGCTGGTTTTACTGGCATACAGAATACAAGTTGTGGGGTTAGGGAGGCTTCCATTCTTATTTCAAAAGAAAGCCTGGGAGATTAGGCAAGAACACACAGAAAGAATGGTGTGTGAAGCTATGGCAATGAAGCTGAAGGTGCACCGGATACTCCAGGAATTCAGAGATGCCATGAATGTAGAACAGCTGCAGGCTGTGAAGGGACCCAGCCCATCAGACCCTTTGCAACCTCCATCTCACCACCATGGGCTGGGCATGGCACGGAGCTACAGAGTTTCATGTTTGTCCTGCTGAATTTCAATCTTTGTTTTATTTGATCGTTTTCTATGCCCCTATTCCTCCCTTTGGAATTGGAAATGTCTATCTTGCATCCTTGTACATTCGAATGATGTAATTTTGTTTTTATTTTCACAACTAAGAGTTCGGCTTGACTCTCAGAAGAGAATTTGACTAGAACATATGAAAAAAATTGGAAAAACTCAGACTTTACATTCTCAGTTGTCACCAAGATGGATATGTTAGGTATAATCATTGTCTTATTGTGTTTATTTGGAGATTAAGTATGGATTAAGGAGACGTGTTTGGGTGTCAAGTTGACAAGGATTGGATGGTGACTTTTAATCCAGAAATGTCAACTTGATTGCACTAAGAAATACCTCAGAGATTAATAGAACACTATTCTGAATGTGTGTGGATGATTACGGAGGGACACTCTGAGTACTATGACTGGTCTCTGGCATCTTCTAATACTCTGCATCCTTCCTACCAGAAAGAAAGGAACTTTACTCTGTCGTGCCTCTCCACCTTGATGTTTATGATTTGAAGCCAGCCAACCATGGACTGAATCCCGTGACGAGATGAGGCAAGTACAGGAACACACATAGCAGATGAAATCATGACAAGAAGGGATGTAATATATCAGGTGATTTGGCATTTAAATTACCTTGTTTTGGGAATTGTTTTTAAGAAGACTACATTAAATGCTCAGTACATCAACTTCAATTTTAAGAAGGAAGTATGATCATTTATTAAACCTGTAACCCTTTAATGTTTATTTAATGGATATGCTGTATTTTCATTTCTGTAAATAGATATTTTTGTGTACATATAACACAAGAAGGCACTTATCCCAGAAAAGCAAACAGACACCTTGACATTTGTAATTGGAACTATGAATAGACAGCAGAATTTATTTCTGTGATTTTATATAAGTGTCTTAATTTCTTTCTTCTTTTTTTTTTTTTTTTAGTTTTTTTCAGTTTCTTTATTGGCTAGAATTCATTGAACTACATTTTTAAACTGTTGTGTTTTTGAAGTTTTGCTCTTAATTGTTTTACCAATGTTCCTTCAAAATACTGTATTTGGTCTCTGTTTGTTGTTCTGGTATAATCACATATCATTGCAATTAACCATGTGCTTACAATTATATCTTGAACATTTTGTAGTTTCTTTAGCTGATAGGCTCTGATCACACCAATCACTAAGTACTAGCAAGAGACCCTAATGGTCCTTAGTACCAAAGAAAACCAAAGCTTTTAAAAGATGTGCACATCTTCTTTCTTTACCATAGATCTCATTTTCTAAGACATGTCTAGATCTGGACTTCAATCAGAAGCACATACACATCCATTAATCAGCCAACACAGGAGGGTGAGTATGAGCTCAGACTCTTGCTCTCTTTTGTTAGCATGCATAACACTATACACCCCGGATTTATTTTGATCATTATTATTTTTGTAAAGGAATGTCAAAGTCTAATTTCTATATTAATATTGATGTGTTCAAGTTCTTGAAGACAATTACTTTCCACAGTTAAAGTATTAACCAATGCTTAGAAAATCCCAAAGATGTTAACATTAGGGTCTATAAGGATAGTTGCCCAATGCATGATATAAGGCATCTTTTTCATTTAACAATTTTAAGGAAAGAGATGTCTCATAAATTATTGTTGCTCCAAATTGAATAAATTATTTCAGGAACTGTTTCTCGAATTTTCATTGGATGAATATATATGAATGTTTAAATATTTGGTTTTCTTTTTCAAGGCAAATTTCACAAATTAATGCTGATATTATCTCATGTGGCCCAACTCAAATCCAGTTATTTTGAATGTACTCAATTACACAATTACTTTAATTTTACTGGATATGTGTACCTTGGATTCATACCACTTATCTATCTCAATTTCCATTATCTTTAGTCAGCCTAGCATTACCCTTTCACTTGATTACAACAATAAATAATATTTTTGCCTCTGTCTTTACCTATCTGGATCATTCTCTACAAAAATCAAAGAATTTCTGAAACGCAAACTACACTTGCCTAGAGTCTGCCGATACCAGTTAATCTTGACTGTATTGACTGGGTTAAGAGATTCCTTAAAAGTGATTGGATTACGAGGGCACAGAACTTAATGAGTAGCCCACTGAGGAATTCATAACAGAATGGGCTGTAAGGAGGCAGGACTTAGTTGCAAGAAGTGAGTCATAAAGGCACAATGTCTAAAGTTTTATTTGGCCCCACCTTCTCCCTCTCTGCAGCTGTTTCCTTGTTCTCTGCTTTCTGGCTGCCATGAAAAGAGCAGCTCTGCTTTACCATGTGCTTCTGTGACAGGGCCTTCATCTCAGACCCACAGTATTGGAAACAGCCAAGAATGTTCTAAAATGTCTGAAACTGTGATCCAAATGAACCATTTCCTCCTTTAAATTTTGTACGCCAGTATTTTCATCCAGCAATGGGAAGCTGACCAGTATACCTCCAGTGGCTCCTGTTTTTTAGTGGAATAAAATCTGATTCTTGTCTGTGGTTCCCAGTGGCCCCTGGGATTTGCACTGTTTTATTTCATTCTCACACTGTTATTATCTGCGTTGCATTCTCTGCTCAGTAGGATGCTGCTGCTCTAAATCTCAACATGTAATCTCCCTCTTCATCAGGAAGACTTTGTACATAGGGCTCTATTTATAAGACAAAACCAAGGAGAAAATTTTGTGTAATCTAATCATTCAAGTATAATGGAAATCTATTCTGGTGTGTTTCATACTGAGAGAAGAACTCAGATTTCCACATAGCAGAACACTTTTAGTCAACAAGAAGAGACACGGTGATATTATAGAATGACTAAAGAAAGTTTGGGGAGTAAAGCTGTGCAGACAAATTGAAACTCATAATAAATAGTCTTAGAAACCATATGAAGGTAATAGGCAGTGTGATCATTGAGACACTTGACCTGAATGAACAGCCTATATCTGTACACCAAGTCCATGTCATATCATTATCAGACATCTTTCTAAGCCTGGCATGAAGACAAGGAATGTCAGTTACATCAGGCTCTCAGAAGTAGATCCTAGATCTCTGCACTCACACAGCTAGGAAAAAGGAACTTTGAAATTCTTCCCTCTTGAACGTGACTTCATTTGTTGACCTATTTTCTTTAGATGTGTTCATAGTCATATATATATAAGTTATGCTGTAACAGCAGTTATCCATTGAACAAACTTTGATTTAAACCTTAAATCATCCATTTCATGGCAGTAATATTCCATAGATGTGTTTTCTAAAATGATTCCTTGATCCATGTGATCTCGTTTAACATTGAAGTAAGCCCTTTAGCTACACAACTTTTCCACCTTTTTGCAAATATGTGATCCAAGATTCTACACCCTTTTGGAATAGATTCTATAATGACTGCAGAAGGGAAGAGATGTAAATATTCTCATAATTTTAAAAATGAAAGCCAAATAGTAAGAAAGAAATAGCAAGGCAGATTTTTAGCATATAGGAAGGAAAAAAAAGTGTGTGTGATGGAGATGGGGGAAGGAGGAGGAGAGATGAAAAGGGAAGGGCATAGAAATTTTAAAAAGAATTAAGATATGGCAGGTACCAACACTGTACAATTAATTAAGCATGTACCAATGAAAAATAAGCAAAGAGAAAAGAAAACAAAGTTTTTATTTTCTTGAAAGAAATTAAATCCTATAGAAAAATGGAACTTGAATAGTAAGAATGAATATCATGTGTCACTCCTTATATGTTACAATATGACTGGCAGTTTGAAAAATTGCAATAAGATTGAAAGAAAGGCCACAGAAGGCTTTTAAAAAGATACGAAACTGGATTTGTTTCTGAAAATATAAGTGAGATCTGAGTGGCCAAAGAGGAAGAGGCATTCTCAGAATGATTCTGTGTGCTGCAATTATCTTCTTAAGTAGATGATAAATTGTCTCTAATGGACGATGAGATTCTCTCTGAGACAAGTTCCATAGACAGCCCTATAAATGGGACTTCGTAGCTGTCAGGGGTTTCACAGACTGAAAAAAATGATAGGCAGATTAGAAGCGACAGCAGTGAAAGATCTGTTTTCTTGTTAAAGAAAGGCTTCAGACTTGAAAGCTTCAAAGGAAAGATGTCATGGGAGTGGAGAAGAGTTGTATATCAGACTGAGTGCTGTGGATACTTTACTTCCACCTTCTTTCTGTATTCAGCAAACACTTTTGTGTCACCACTGTGTGGAAAACATGCATGATCCTTTACTTGTAATTTACCTTACTTGAGGTGAATCTTTGTCTCACCTCTGCTATCTCCATCCATCTCCATCACCACTCTGAATTTCAGTTTCCTCATCTGTAATGCAAAAATAAGAAAACATCACCATCCATCTTACCAAAAGTTTCTCAAAGTAACGTGATGTATTTTATTGTACTGTTGAATTAGAGAATGATTTTATTTTTATGATGTTCTAAAAGCACTATTGTAAAACATTATTTAGTGACTACAAAAATCCATTATGAAGTAAATTACAGTAAGAGAAGCTGGTTGACTCAGTACCAGTAGCTGGCAACTGTGAGAAACCCAGGTGGCAATGTCAGGAAAGGACTCACCAGGAGTCTCAATGAGTCAATCAAAGTTCTCAATCACGACTACGCATCAAATGTGCCTAGGCATGTCAGGCATGATGGCGTGCAACTGTATTCCTAGCACTTCAGGAAGATGAGGCAGGATGACTACAAGTTTAAGCACAGCATGGACAAACTAGCGACGTAGTGAGACCTTGTCTCAAAAAATAAAATTAAAAAGAACTGGAATATTGCCTCAATTTCAGTCCTCAGTAACAAAAAAGTACCTGGGAAATTTTCTGTAAGGCCTGCATCCCATCTCCAGAAATTCTGAATTAATTCAATTGACTTGGTGTTGATTATATATATATATA